TGCTGCTTGGACTCCTGCTATTTCAGTGATAGCTGGGGCTGGGCAAGATGTTTTCCCAGCACTCTGACAGCCTGGGAAGGAGCCCGCTCCCTTGGATGCACCAAGAACAGCTTCTGTCATCAGAAGGGCTTTATCCAGTCACATCTCTTCAGCCACTTGGGGTGGGGGGTGAGTTGTTTTCAGTAAATTCTCTGGGAGAAAGCATCTATGATCTCAGTTGCTTCACTTTCATATTAATTGGATAATATATACGGGCCGATATAAACACTTCTGACAACTGCATACGAGATAAGAACATTATCTGGTTCGTACAAGACTAAAATTTGAAGAGACCACAAGCTTGCACACAAGTTACAAACACCATTGTAAATACAATTCCCCTTTCCCATTCTCATCCCCTTCTGGCTCCTCTGTGTATAACTGAGCTGATGAAAGCTCAGTTTATTCAGGATGAGTGCAGAAGTAACACTGATGCTTTTATATGCACTTGGAGACATTTGTTGACAGAAACTGAGGTGTTGGCAGGAGTTAAGGGAAGTTAGCAGTCTACCCACCTGTACGAGCTTGAAACAATCCTAAGCTACATGCTGCTTGACCCATCTACTCTCAAAATCCTGGTGCCAATCTACCAGCAGTTTTTTACCCTATAGAGCTGCAACACTCTCTTGGACCTTTGGCAACAGCAAATCACAGTTTGGTAACCACCATCTAAACCAACAGGTAAGCACTGTAAAAAAGAAGTGACTACAAGCATATGCATATTTTTTAAAATCCTGCCTGCAATTTCCTGCCCTCTGGTGTTAAGCAGGCACATGGTAAAACATAAAATCCAACTGAATATAGATTTTCTGTCTAGGTAGGTTTTAAGACGACTGAATGCTGAAAAAGCCTGAGCCCTTGGTACAGACAGACTGTTCTAAGTGAACTGCCATAGAGAAGGCAACATTAGAGTGAAAGGAGAAAAATAACAAGAGGGGAGAGGCTAAGACATAAACTTCCAAAGCTTAAAGCACAGGATGGAAATAATCAGAGTCAAAGCCAGGCTGTTGTTGAATTTGCATGCAACCTATAAAAGGCCTGACCAAGATACTGTGTTGGAAATAAAACCTGAAGGCTTGAATTTAGTCAACCAGTGAGCCTACAAATGAGAGTTTGAAGGACCAAAATTCAACTTTGCTACTTTTAGAAAACCTGTAGTGCTTAATTCACTGTGCATCCTGAGCAACACAGATAGACTTACGTATCTGGGAGAATGAACACCCTTCTGACCTGCAGAAAGAAAAGTATGAACAGTTTAAAGCAGATTTGCTTCTCTGCTAGCTTCAAGTTAACCAATTTCTGTGGATATCTGAATGCTGCCCCATGTCATCTGGGCCTACCTTGAACTTTTGAAAGGAGTCAAGTAACCCTGAACAAAGCACCACAAAGAATTCACAGTTCTCATTGATGGCAGTGGGTTTTATTAGAAAGAATAACAAAGTGCTTTCCACAGGATTCATTTAATACAGAGTTTTTAAGAAACAGGGTTTTTCTTTTTTATATGGACAGGTTCGATGTGATGATTTTTCAGTGCAAACGGGGTTCTCCAAGATTCTCCTACATGTAGAACTGCTTCTCTGTACACAGTAGTTCAAACACATACGCATTTGGCAGGTGCGAAACAGAAGTGAAGAGTCCATCCTTTAAGAAACAGAGGTTATGTAAAAAGCTTTCAATATGTTACACTGACCAACTGGAATTAAATCATTTGTTGTATAACACGGATTTAAGGGACATAGTTCCTTCATACAGTTCAACACACAGATGCATAAAGGTGCTTTCAGTTCTATCAAGACTAATCATCATATATACCAATATATATATAACATTATCACTTTTTACTATATAGACAATATTGAAATTGTCTTTTTTATGTTTTTTTATTTTAAATTAACCTCCTGCTTTTTAGCTAGGGACAGACAGCCTTTGAAAGCTTAGTGCTTCCTCTGCCTTGGAGCTACCTCTGGATGGAAGGAAGAACACAACGTGAGGACTGTTCACCCATTCCCCCCTCACTTTTGGCACATGCTTATGATCAGATTTCTTTTGACACATATATGCATCATTTCACCACATTCCATCTTCCATTCTTTATGTCTGATTCTATCCGAGTCCCCTTTATTTCCTTTCCTGCAAATGACAGGGAGACAGTACAGCAATAGCACAAAATTACAATCAATGATTTAGTGCAAGTTTTTATATACAATGGAATGTATGAAACCAAATGGGTAAGGGCTATCTTCCATGCAATACATTAGTTCATCTTCAGTCAACCTAACTCTGTTAGGGCTATTTTTTCACATTCTTAAAAGTTAAAAACTTCTACGAAGGACAAAATGTAGTAATTTAGCCTTAAGAAAAATGATACGAACAATCACTGTACACAATCTCAGTCCAAAAACTACCTTTCCCTAGAGCACATGTACACAAACATAAACATTGGAAGAACAACTGAAATGACCTCATGAGTGAAACAGTTATAGTTAGGCACATATGAAAGGGTTACATGCATATAAACAATGTCCTCACGGAACCTGTCAGTCACACCCTGGGTTCACTGTTTCCCATTCATTATGGACACAGCAAAATCACCACTTCAAGGAAATGCTACATGCCATCTCGGAGCACAGCATCTTTACACAACAGTACTACTAGAACAAGGATATCACAGAGACACTTTTTCCTACAGGATGAAAGGAACTGGATGGGATCCTCTGAACAATAACTTGATTGTAGAGAGAAAAGAAGGTTTTTTCGTTGGTGGTTTTTTGGTTTTTTTCAAATGACAAGATGCTTTTGCAGTACAGCCCTTATACAAAAGGGTATAGGGGAAGAATACATATAAATCCACCACAGTATCTATACAAATATGCAAAGGTATAAACAGATGTTCTGCTTTCTTAGGGACTTGAAACAAAACCAAAGTTTATCCCTAGGCACTTGTGAGAACAGAGCTCCTGCCTCTGAGTTCAGCCTGTACTTGCTGTTTGCTTTGAGACTTCCAGCTGCGAGTAACAAAGTCCTATATCCAGAACACCTTCTGTTGTCAAACATTTCCCTGTGCTAGCATAACTATCTAACTAGGCACCACTGAATGCAAGTTGCCATCTGAACACACAGCTGGGCCTCAGTCCCCCTCATTTGAAGACCTGGAGAGGAGACCAGCTTCCTCAAAATATAACTCATTCATTACAAAAGCAGAGAGATACCTCTACAGATGGTATTTAGGCACAGAAAGACTTTAAAGTTCATGTTCGCTGCCCTAAATCACACTTACTCCACTAATAGGAAAGTCCATGAGGACTGGTGCCAAAGGTCCTGGAAATAGAGCCCAGCAGCCAACATGATCCATGTAGGCATAAAACAGCCTTGAGAATCCAGTTGCAGGACTGGGACCATAGGGAAGCTCTCCCTAACTGCAGAAGCCTCTGGATAAGAAACATTTTCAACTGATCTACTGTTGATCTCTGCTAGTATAAAAATGTCTAGGAAAAAAGTCACTGCAAAAGGTTACGTAGTTTTCTGTACATTTCACATCTTCTGTTACATTGTATAAATGTATAATTTCGCTCTACCACAGAAGAATTCTATTTTGCAATTAAGTTTCTTACTTAAAGTTATTAAATTGGTAGCTTATTCAGTAAAGATTCTGTCTCGTTTTACTGGTTTTCTTTAAATGAGCACATTCAACTTGGAAATACCCAGTACACCCCTGGCATGGCTCCTGGGGAGCCAGAGTGAATTTTGCACCTACTCTTGAATGTATATATCCTATTCTCCAATTTGTGTTGCCCATGACATGCAACTATAGATATGCCTTTTGGCTGCCTAGTGTGAAAATGAATCATCATAAAATGACCACCCGATTTCAACTACATTCTTGAAATGTAGTTGATGCATGTTGATGTAGTTACTTGCATGAGGAAACAGGTGTGATTTGCTTATGTACACAAGGCTTCTAGCTCGTGTTGGATCCACACTGTAGCAAATCAGGGAAGTTTTAAGAGATCTGGTCTGATACGTATCTGGTTGCTCAGACACTTCACACGCAACCCAGAGGAAGCAGACAATATTCCATCTAGAATTGCCAACTGGAATGGCAACTCTCCAACACCGCAGCTGTAACTACCTACAAAGTCCATGAATTATCCAGATATTTATCTTCAGCACGAGGGCTGAG